TGCCATGGCTGTGGGGGATCTGAGGGCTTCTCACCCTGCTCAGTGTGGAAACCCATTGGTTTTAAAATCCTACCAGCTTGGCAGAGAGACAAGACATAGTTCTGATGTTGTGGGCCTTCAGAAAAGGATAACTTGTGCCCACAACACATATTCCCATTCCAAACTCCGCTGAAATGATTCAAATATAACTTAATTAATTAAAATAAGTCCCAGAGTCCAAAGCTGAATTAATTCTTTCCATTCATGACTAGATTTCACTAAATCCCYTTCTAATCCACATTCTTAGTAGGACTTATTCCTTGTTATAGTTTGGCTTAACATCGTGGAGCTCTGGGGCCAATTTCTATCATCGGTATCTTCCAGAATGTCACAGCAGTGCTGTTGGCAGGTGCCACAACTCACCTGGAATCCAGGAATATCAGCTTCAGATAGAGGCTGGCCCTGAACATGAACATGTTACTGTGCAGCTTGATCTCTGTGATGGCACTGGGAGGCAGCGACTGGCCCACCGCCACCAACCCCACGATCTGGTAACAGGAGTCGTACAGGGACATGTCCAGCATGTACTGCCTGATCTTCAAGTAGCCGCTGCAGTGGATGACCTGRGGGAGCAGAGGGCAGGTCAGCTGGCCGTGGCACCCACTCCTCCTGACTCCTTTCATGGAACGTCCCCAACCCAGGTTCTACCGAGAATGTGGACAATATGCTAACAGATGCCTTTCTTAGCAGACAGTGTCACAGTAAAATATAAGGGCTGTCTTATTCTGTCAACCMTGAGTAAGGAATGTCACAAATTAGGACTCTCTGACATAGGATGAGTTTATATATAAGGAACCCACTGAGAGTCGTRCTTAGAGAACACAGCAAGACCTTCTTAGAAGACAGCCATTTGTTTCACTAATGCTCACTTCAGTAATTAAAATGCTTCCCACCTTCCTTTGGGACTGAATTTGACCTCTGCMTCACCTGACATGCTCCTACACTCCAGTAAATTAAGAATCCTTTCAATAGATTTTTTTTAAATCTTCATTTTTATGTCTTTTAATTTCATGTATTTTAATTCAAGATCTTAATAATCAACAAGTCAGAGTGGCTATCTARAAGCCTTCCAGTTAGAGCCAAAG